TTGACCGAGTGACTTGTGTTCTGAGACGCTATCCTGTGTGAAGGGCGCCGTATAGATGCAAGTTATTGCTGTTGTGACTTCACAGGGCCCTTTGCTGCTCTGCTTTTAGTCATCGGGATGCACAATCATTGACTCTATTTATATTCCCGACGGCAGGTTGGCATTAGAGGAAGTGACCTGATTGTACACTTTCCTAATCTAAAAATAAGTCACATTCACAAGGGCTTCGAAGAGCTCAGCTAACTACAGCCGCAACAAGGTCTTTCATGTCGGGGGGACGTCGCAAGGCTCTGGACAGTCGGGGATTTGGACCCGAGCTGCGGGCTGGGATCAGGAAGCCTGGAGGGCAGGGAGAGTGGGGGTGGCCGCAGGCGCGGTCGAAGAGTAGGGTCTTGAGATGTGCCTTGAAGGAGGTGAGGGAAGGAGCCAGGCGAAGGGACTGTGGGATGGAGTTCCAAAGGGTGGGGGCAGAGAGCCAGAAGGTCCGACTGACGATGGTGATAAGCCGCTATGCCAAATGCAACGATTATTACTATCACGCAAATAAGAGCCAATAATATATGAAAACAATTCCTTGCTCTTGATACAGCACTTTACACGTCAGGAGGACGTCTCGAAGCCCTTCACTGGAACCGCTGCAAAGTGGAGTGACTATCTTTTTTTTCTCTCCCCATCCCCCCCCCCTCCCACTCCATCCTCCGCCAATAGATTTTCTGGCAAAACCTGAAGCAGATCGCTCCTCTGTGAGATTCGTTCTGCAATCAAACACAGTCGCAGATGACACAGATGATTAACTTTCTGCTTTTCCCGCATCACGTCTGTACCAAGAGTGTGGGGGAGAGGAAGGGCGAGGGGAGGGGAGATAGGGGGAGGTAGGGCAGGTGTGACCTCGACTCATTATCTCCCCAACAGACAGCTCCCAGCCTCTGCCAGACATTCTGCGGAGATCAGAATCTCACTGCACACACACAACACAACGCAACACACACGATAACTGGTGTGCAGGCAATATATATATATATATGCATATAAAAAACTTGAGTTAAAGGTAGAAAATTCTATTAATACTACAGCCTCTCTCAGAGGGTTGAGGGTTGTCCTGTCGGCTCTCCAAACACAGGCAGAATTTTTTTTTGTGTGACAGAGTTGTGCCTCTCTGGTTAAACGCTCACCGCATCACCTGTTCAGTTCCAAGATTATTTTCACTCCAAGTTAGTTAAAAGCCTCTCCCCTCTGACAGCACGCACGGCGTTTCGCCCACAAACTGCACAGTCACTACGCTTTACAGTGTAGCCTGCGAAACGCTTTTGAGACGTCTCGAACACGCGATAAGGCGCTGCTTCAAACGCAAGGGATTTATGATTTATCCACTTATTACCTTCAAACCCGGGTTTAACCCCTCCGCTCAGTTCTTGATCACGTAACAGCGCCGCAGTTGCCCAGTAACACGGGCTGTCGGTGTTTTTCCTTTGTGCAAAAGAAAAAGAGAAATGTTTTCGGCGAAAGCCACGTAAGCCACGTTCCCTCCCTCCCGCCCGCCCGCCCGCCCAGGGACGCGACAACCGCGGGGCGGGGGGGGGGGGGGGTGGGTTGTCTTTTTTTTTTGTTGACCAAAGCGCCGCCAGAAGAAATCAAAGCGGTTGCGAAAGTTTTGCGGGGGCACCGCGTTATCGCCCGCCGCGCAAAAAAAACACGTCCACTACACTTCATGTCTATATATATATAGATGGACATATCCCCCGCGGACATCTCGACGGAGCGATCAGTTGCAAGGATTATTATTATTATTATTATCATTATTATTATTATTATTATTATTATTATTATTATTATTACTATTGTTTTGCTGCAAACCTTTGCAAAAAAACACACACATTTGCATTGGTCGTTTGCATTAAAAGGCAGAGAGAGAGAGAGAGAGAATCAGCTGCAAACGTTTGCATTCAAGTCCCTGACACACCCACTCACTCACTCACTCACTCACACTCACCCACTCACACTCACTCACACACACATACCTCCTGCACCAGTTTGTTAGACGCCACAACCCAACTTGAACCGTCCCCCCCGGGATGACCGACGTGGCCGGCGGCCAATCGGAGGGCCGCGTTCCGAGGGCAGCGCCGGGCTGATGTCATCGCGGACCAATCGGGAGGGGAGGGGAGGGGGCGGGACCAGGACCCAGCACGTTAGGTTGGAGAGGGCTAAGTGCCTGAGCTCTGGTCTGTGGTCCCAACCCCACCAGCTGTTTGCTGCTGTATCCCCATCCCCATCCCTGTCCACATCCCATCCCTGTCCCATCCCTGTCCACATCCCATCCCATCCCTGTCCACATCCCCATCCCTGTCCCTGTCCCCATCCCATGCCTGTCCCCATCCCTGTCCCCATCCCTGTCCCCATCCCATCCCATCCCTGTCCCCATCCCATCCCATCCCTGTCCCCATCCCTGTCCCCATCCCTGTCCCATCCCAACCCTGTCCCCATCCCTGTCCCCATCCCTGTCCCCATCCCTGTCCCCATCCCTGTCCCCATCCCTGACCCCATCCCTGTCCCCATCCCATCCCTGTCCCCATCCCCATCCCATCCCTGTCCCCATCCCATCCCTGTCCCCATCCCATCCCTGTCCCCCATCCCTGTCCCCATCCCATCCCATCCCTGTCCCATCCCTGTCCCATCCCTGTCCCCATCCCATCCCATCCCTGTCCCCATCCCTGTCCCCATCCCATCCCTGTCCCCATCCCATCCCTGTCCCCATCCCCTGTCCCCATCCCCATCCCTGTCCCCATCCCTGTCCCCATCCCCATCCCTGTCCCCATCCCATCCCTGTCCCCATCCCCATCCCTGTCCCCATCCCCATCCCATCCCTGTCCCCATCCCATCCCTGTCCCCATCCCATCCCTGTCCACATCCCCATCCCTGTCCCCATCCCATCCCTGTCCCCATCCCTGTCCCCATCCCTGTCCCCATCCCATCCCTGTCCCCATCCCTGTCCCCATCCCATCCCCGTCCCTGTCCCCATCCCCGTCCCTGTCCCCATCCCCATCCCTGTCCCCATCCCTGACCCCATCCCCATCCCTGTCCCCATCCCTGTCGCCATCCCATCCCTGTCGCCATCCCATCCCTGTCCCCATCCCTGTCCCCATCCCATCCCTGTCCCCATCCCTGTCCCTGTCCCCATCCCATCCCTGTCCCCATCCCATCCCTGTCCCTGTCCCCATCCCATCCCTGTCCCCATCCCATCCCTGTCCCCATCCCCGTCCCCATCCCTGTCCCCATCCCATCCCTGTCCCCATCCCTGTCCCCGTCCCCATCCCTGTCCCCGTCCCCATCCGTCTCCATCCCTGTCCCCATCCCTGTCCGCAACCCCATCCCTGTCCCCATCCCCGTCCCCATCCCCGTCCCTGTCCCCATCCCTGTCCCCATCCCCGTCCCCATCCCCGTCCCCATCCCTGTCCTGTGCCTCTCAGCCCTCCTCTTACCCCCTTCCCACCCCCTTTTTTTTTTCTCGAAGACGTGACAAGCGCCGTATCAAACGCGAGGATATTACTGTTATTATCGTATTATTATTCCACGTCGCCCTCCGGTGGAAAGAGTTTTTGTGTTTCATAATAATAATAATACTCCTTGCATTTGATATAGCGCTTTTCATGTCGGGAGGACGTCCCGAAGCGCTTCACAGAACACACTGTGAAGTGAATTGACTATATTTGTGGGCGAACGCGGCAGCCAATTGCGCACAGCAATGTCCCACAAACAGTCGTGGATTGAAAATGACCAATTTATTATTGTTTTTGGTTTTTGGAGGATTATTATTAGGCTCTGTGTGGAGTAAGGAAACTTGCCCAAGGTTTCGCCCTCTGCCTGGAATTGAACTCAGGTCTCTCACTTGCAAAGCGAGTGCTCTAACCACTGAGCTACAGGCATTATAGATAGATAGATATACATATAGATAATTTTTTACAATTTCATAGCTTTTCCTTAATCGCTTCCTTCCTTCAGTACTCGTCGTCACAACGGTAATAATCCCGGCGTTTGATACGGAACCCGTCGCGTCGTCGAGAAGCCTCGAAGGGCTTCCGATTCATTTTCTTTTGATAGATAATGAAATAGAAACTTTTTTTTTTGCACCTCGCCGGCAAAATGCACACGGTCAATTCCGCTTTACAGTATGTTCCGTGAAGAGCTTGGAGACGTCTCAACAATGTAATAAGGCACTACATATCAAATACAAGGATTATTATTATTATTGTTTTTATTATTAAATGCCCCCAATTGAGTCTGATCCAAGAGATCGTTTCCATTAAACTACATTTTTACTTTGGACAAAATGTTAGCAGTTAGCTGCTCTCTCTCTCTCTCGTACTCTGTCTCTCTCTCGTACCTTTTGTTTGTTAGGATTACTTTCCTGACTTACATACTGTGGATCCATTTACAAACCCCCAACATTGTATTTGCATTGGAAATTCTGAATCTGCCCCAAGCGAACTGTTACTGCACTGGACGGACAAGATCGCTAGGGCTCACATAGGAAGCTGTAATATTTTGGACAAAACATTAGTAGATAGCGTTTCGCCCACAAAATATACAATCAATTCACGTCACAGTATACTCTGTGAAGCGCTTTGGGACGTCTGAAAGATGTGATAAGGCGCTGTATCAACAACAACAGCAAAATTACAATTGTTTCGCGCCTTTCACATCGGGAGGACGTCCCAAAGCGCTTCACAAAGTGCGCACTTGGCTGCCGCGTTTGGCCCACAAACTACACAGTCACTACACTTTACGGTACATTCTGTGAAGCGCTATCGGTCGTCTCATACGGCGCGATAAGGCACTGAATCAAGTGCAGCGATTATTATTAACTACAGCCTTAGGAGAATCAGAGTCCTGAAAGTCACGAACTAACTTTTAACTTTCCCTTGTTACACATTACAATAGAGTACAGGGAGTTTCCTCTATATTTGTGTGTGTGTGTTTTATTTGCACGCTCCTCTAGCAGGCAGGCAGGACTGAAGGGGTTAACAGAAACACCCAGGCGGAGTTTGAGGTTTGACTGCATTCCCTGGGTTTCAACGTGTCTGTGAAGCTCTCACCCACTCCTTTTCGGGTTTTAATCCATTTGTGAAGTAAGAACGTGGAGGTAAAAAAAAAATAATCATCGGTGGTCGAAACGAGGAGGAAGATGCCAGGGACCTGTGGCACTTTGTGAAACAAGATGTGCAAAATAGGTAAGGAATCCTTTGGAGTTTTGTGCATTAACTTGGCGTCCAATCTAGAGCCGGTTAACACGGCAAGGAAGCAATCGCAGGCTGTGCAACGCGAGCCAGGGGTGAAGCAGGCCAACAGATGTTGACAAACGTTGCCTGCTTCAAACCTTAACAAAGAACCAGCTCTCACACTCGCTGCCCCAGCGAAGTGACTCGCAAACTTTGTTAGAAACTTTTTTTGCTCCCAAAACCAATGAAACTTACACCGCACAGTACAAAGGCAAATGGAACCAGAGCATTGACTGAAAATGTCTCCCTCCCTGGGGAGATCTTCAGTCCGACAAATACTGTGCCCAGAGCAATTTTTCTTCAAAGACATTGCAACGAATGTGCTGGAGCAGGTTTTTGCTGTGATATTTCTGTCGTGGCTTGTTGCGAAATGCGAATTGATCGGGGTTGGTCCCGAAAACTATTAGCAATGAAGTTTGTATCTGGGAATTTCTATATAAGGACAACTATGTTAGAAGCTACATAAATATAAATGTGGAGTCCTGTAGCTCAGTGGTTAGAGCACTTGCCTCGCAAACGAAAGATCTGGGTTCGATTCTCGGCAGGGCAAAACCTTGGGCAAGTTTCCTTACTCCACACAACTGATAATAATCCCTCGAGAGAGGAAAAAAAACAACAAAATTGGTCACTTCAATCCACGGCTGTTTGTGGGGACGCTGCTGTGCGTAATCGGCTGCCGCGTTTCGCCCACAAATATACAGTCAATTCACTTTACAGTCTATTCTGTGAAGGGCTTTGAGACGTCTCGAAGACGTGATAAGGCGCTATATCAAATGCAAGGATTATTATTGTTATAAATTTGTATTCTAAGAATTTGCATGTTTCTGGAACCTTAAGTTGAAACGTATCAGATGTAATGACTTGTCCGTAGGGAAACACAACAAGAAATTTGCAACAGCAAGGAGTGATTAATTTATCCAGAGGAATGTTGGCTCGGCCACCAGGAGAAACTCCCTTCGCTTTTTGAAAAGTTTGTGTGTTGATCTTTAACATCCTCCTGAAAACTTGTGTTTCAGGTCCTCAGCTTAATTGAAGCGTAGCATTTGCAGCAACGCAATAACAATACAGTCCCCGTAATCCTGCACTGGAGTGTCAGACTGTATGCTCAAGTCCCCGCTTGTTTTACTCTGCGCTCAGAGGTCTCCGCCCACAGCTACAGTGGCACATTGGACAAAATCGACCACTTTCAACACTGTTTGACCAGAGCGCGGTTAAACAGTTCAGTTGGCGAGCTTTTATTGGCAAAATTGGGAAATATTCTCTCACTTGTTTTCGAACCAAGGACGCCTGACCTAAAGTGTGTCGGCAACAATCGGCAACAACAACTTGCACTTAGACAGCGCCCCTCGCGCAGGGCAGGGTCTCGGAGAGCCTCACACCCGCCCCACCTCAAACACGTGCGAGAGCCCTCCGGGGTATTGCGTGGCAGGTGTTCAGCCTAATTGTAAAGGCAATTTCTTGCGCGGTTCTGTTATTAAACCGGGATAACAGGCAAACAGTCGGTCTGTTCAAGGCAAACAAAACCATTCAGAGCAAACATGCCGGTCCACTGATTAGATTGCGTTCAACAACAAAAAAAATACTCTTTGCCAGAGTGATGGGGCTCAGGGTTTATGCAGGGTTTGCACAAAAAAAACAACACGTTACATTTGTACAGCGCCTTGCAACAACTTGCATTTTACACTGTGCCCCCTCATGTAGAGTGGCGTCCCAGAGCACTTGACAGTGGCGGAGTGGGGGGAGGGTGGGAGGGAGAGGAGGAGAAGGTCTCGAGACGTGCCTTGAAAGAGGCAACAATGCATTTGGCCTCAATATTTGGCCTCAATATTTCTCGTCTTCGTTAGTTCTTAATGAAAACCAATGTAAGCTTTGCTCGGAACATGGATCTGGATGTTCGCTGACACATACCTCAGGCCTCCCCACTCCCAGAACAAAGCGATCCATCGCACGAGACACATTCAAACAGCAGGTCAGGTTAATAGTTTAACCCCCACCCCCCAGCAGTGTGCTCAAGAGAGGATAAGAGAGGAATTCTGGCCTGCTGAAGCTTGTACCTCGGACACGCAGATCTAGTAAATAAACACTTTCATACCTAATAATTGTTCTCATCTGTACGAGGTGTTAATTTCACCCGATCTGTTGTTATGAGCATCCTATAAGTACTTCGAAAATGTGTGAAAATGTCCCAAATGACAGTAATTCTCTCTCTCTAATTGAACCAACCTCCTTTCCTAATCGTTCCTTCCACACATGGCAAGGCTGTCACGGGAATCAACTGCCTTTCACAGGCAGCAAATCGATTAATTCTGCGCTTGGCCTGCGAGACAACATTCCTCTCTCCAGCAGCAATACTGCATTTAACATAAGAATTTGCTACACGAAAGAAAACCGAGGTCCATCCAGTTCATCTTCCACCATCCTGGCAGTCGCTTGCACATGTCGTGTCCCAAACTGTACACTGTTATCCCGAGATAATATTTCCTAACAGGATCTATCTCATTTGCTTTCGAAAGGATCAACACTTTCTGCTTACACCGCCTGTCTCCCTGGGGAGCCTGTTCCATACAACAACAAAATTACGCTTATAGAGCGCATTTCACGTCGGGAGGACGTTTACGAGGTTAACGACTTACTGACTGAAGTAGTGTTTCCGCAGATTTGTCTTGAATTTAGCCTTCAGCAGGTTTGGGATGTAGGCGTCAGGATGAAAAGGCTGTGGACACGCTGGATCTGTTCAAATTTTCAAGACTGTGGTGACTAGATGTTTGTTAGGTCACGGCATCAAGGGATACAATACAATATTATGTTTACACGGTGCCTTTCACGTCGGGAGGACGTCCCAAGGCACTGGACAGTCAGGGATTTGGACAAAGGCTGGTGTTTGTTAGCTCAGGGCATCAAGGGAAATGGGGCAAAGGGCAGGTAACAACAACAACAACTTGCATTTATATAGCATCCTTCACGTGGGGTAGCATCCCAAGCGCTTGTCCCAACTACCTCGAGGGTAATTGGAGTCGAGATACAGATCAGCCGTGATTTTATAGAATGGCGGAACAGGTTCGAGGGGCTGAATGGCCTCCTCCTGTTCATATGCATATATAAGCATATATATATGTATGAGGGCTAAAGGAATCTTCTCAATGGCAAGGTATACAGTTCTAGCTGGTCAAACAACAACAACAACATTCCATTTATAGAGTGCCTTTCACGTGGGGAGGACGTCCCAAGGCGCAGAACAGTTGGGTCAGGACCCGAGCATTGGGGGGGAAATGGTCAGGGTGAGGGGAGGGAAGGGAGGGAGCGAGGAAGGGGGGAATGGTCAGGGTGAGGGGAGGGAAGGGAGGGAGCGAGGAGGGGGGAGATGGTCAGGGTGAGGGGAGGAAAGGGAGGGAGCGAGGAGGATCTTGAGACCGGCCTTAAAGGAGGAAAGGGAGGAGGCAGCGAAGGCACTGGGGATAGAGTTCCAGAGCCTGGGGGCTGAGAGGCTGAAGGCCCGGCCACCGATGGTAGGGCGGTTGGGGCGGGGGATGTGGAGCAGACCGGAGCCAGAGGAACGGAGGGTATGGGCAGGTAGGTAGGGGGATAGTAGGTTGGAGAGGTAGGAGGGAGCGAGGCCGTGAATGGCCTTGTAGGTGAGGATGAGGATCTTGAAATCGATCCTCTGGGGGATGGGGAGCCAGTGGAGGCGAGCGAGGGCGAGGGTGAGGGTGGGAGTGATGTGGTCGCGGTGTCTGGTGCGGGACAGTACACGAGCTGCAGAGTTCTGAATGACCGGCAGTGTGGAGGGAGGGCCGGGAAGGCCGGCGAGGAGAGAGTTCCCATAGTCCAGCCTTGAGGTGATAAAGGCGTGGACCAGAGTTTCAGCCGCGTGAGGGGTGAGGCAGTGCCGTAGTCTGGCGACATTCCGGAGGTGATGGAAGGCGGTGCCCGTTGTGGCGCGGATATGAGGGAGAAAGGACAGCTCAGGGTCGAATCTAACTCCCAGAGGTACCCCAACATATGTTCTGGGGGACCCCAAACCTTGGATCTTGCCAACCTGCGCCTAATACACTGGGTCTCTTTAGGGGGAAGAGTGCAGATTCTGTTCCAGGCAAGAGGAAATTTCAAATGTGGTTAGCACACGAATGGGGAACTGTGTCTGATTTGGTTACTCTTACGCAAGGTGATGGATTTCTGCACCTGTAAGACACCCATGTGATGGTGGTTCCTTTGTCTAAGCAACAAACAATCATCGCATGTAAATTAAGAGTGCTTTTCTTTTGTTGACGTAACGTGTGTTAGCTTATCACTGAGCAGTGATCGGAGGACTGATCAGGACAGTCATGTGTTGTGTTGTTACTCACTGGGATATCATGTCATTGCGTTTCAGAGAACCTGATGGATGGAAAGCAGCTGATGAAAACGGGCATCACCTTAATTGTGATCGGTCATTTGAATTTCATTCTGGGTTCCATTGTCCACGGCACTGTCCTGCGTCACGTCACTGTGCCCGGAGACGGCATCTTAGTCGAATATTCCGTCACCACTATCATGTCTGTCATCTCAGGAATCGTGGTACAGTGACCCTATGTTCTCTCTCATTAATAGCAATAATCATAATCATAATCTCTCCATGTGCTTCGCAGGATACACTGCAAAGCGAATTGACTGTACATTTTGTGGGCCAAATGCATGCAGCCAATTGCGTACAAACAGTCATGGATTGAATGACCAAATTATTATTATTTTTTTGAGGGGGAGCGGGGGGAGAGGGATTATTGTCCTAGGAATGCAATCCGACAATCGACTTAACAACCGGTTATTAATGTAGCACTACTATATTTTGTACTAGATCAATTAAACAAAAAAGTGTCACTTCTCTGATGCATGTGCGTGACAGACAAGATGAAGGCGTCGGAATACCCACCTACAAAGTTCAGACAACCCGACTGATCAAAAAAAAAGGTCCCCTCTTCAATCTCAGTCTCTATAGCGCCAGCTTTAACTCACACTTTAAATAAACAAACTTGACCCGACAATTCTTGCATTTAGATAGCATATTTCTTTAGGTAGGATTCTATCTCGGAGTGCTTCACACAGACGCAATTCCATTGCCACATACTCCGAAGGATAAGTGGAACAAAGATGCACATTAAAGAAAACAGTGTTAACTCTCCTCGGTTTACACAATCTCTCAGGGAGGGGAATAACTGTTGATAAAGCCTTCAAGAGGAGACACAAATCTGAAATCTGTCCCTCAATCTCAATGTACATCGAGCAAAAAAGTATTGAAGCACACATTATTGAATCATTGAACGCTGAATGACTGTAATTCGCAACTGGCATTTTCACTGTCGCCAACGCATTTGGTTGTAAAGAAAATCAATGTTCTTTGAATGAACAAATGAGTCTCCAAAAAAAAGTATTCATGTATTATCGGTGAAAAATTAATATCCTTCCAACAGGGTTCCAACCACCCGTCATTAATCCATTTCTGAATCTATATTTTACAGAGTATTTCCACCGGAATTATAGTAATTGTGCTGTCCAGAGATCTGTCTAACACAAGACTGGTGAGTCAACGAGATTTATTTAGTGTTTAATCTCCTTAGTACTCGAAGTTACCGTGGCAATAAAAGAAGGTTAAGATTTCTTTCTTGAGGCTGCTCAATGTATATTGCAACAGAAAGTGGATTGAAAGAATGTCCTTCTTTTTCTTCCTATTTGATTATACAGCAATATGTTGTGTTTGCGAGCAGCATGTCTAATTGCCTGATCTCTCTGGCCTGTATGCTGGGGCTAGCAGTGTCCGTGATCATAACCATAATAAATGGCGGAAGGACATTACTTGCAGTCTGTGGCCTCGGCTCCACCAAGGATATTTTACAAGTGACAAATGAATGTCCGTTTGACCCTACAAGAATTTACGTAAGTTATATAACGGGTTACAAGTTAAAGTTCAGCCCTAACGTGTTGCAGGAGAGCAATGTGGTACAGCAACTTGGGACATCCTCCCGACTTGAAAGGCTCCAGACAAATGTCACTCATTGTGGTTCTTGTCGCCTGGTACCCAATGTGAAGATTACCTTGAGACTTGAACTTGCCCGGCAAGCGAGAGAGAGAGAGAGGACCATCAATCCAGATATACAGTTCATTCAATTCATGGCCTTGTGCGCGCATTGGCAGAGTGCGTGCTGTTAATTCCTCGCCCTCGCTCCTGGACGAGCTCAGTCACTTTCGGGCTCATGCGCTTTCCGAATGAAACAGCCTCACGCGAGTGGGTTCATTTCACCATAGATGCTGCCTGACCCGCTGAGTGTTCCCGGCCACGTCTGGTCTTGCGACTCGAGTGGGTGTCGCCTCCTTGTGTGGCGCGTGAGGGCAATCAGCCCACCAGACACACAGCGAGGGCTGGCAGATGCTGATCAGCTTGTTAACGTTCTGACTCATTCAAATACAATTTACTCGCAGCTGCTGGAGGCAGTCGCGCCCCATAATTTCTAAATGCGAAAAACAGTGTCTTTAAAACATTGTTACCCACAACAAATTATTTTCGCAGCTCTGCTCACGCTGCGTTTATTGCGCTTTTATTAGTCCCGTTGCCCGTCCCATTAGCACATCTGTCCTCTCAACCCCTGTCGCTGGCTTCTCTGCCAGCTCTCTGGGTTCTGTGTACTCCCTGCACCGTTAACTCTGGTTAGACTCCAGCGGTTACCCCCCCTGGAGTTCATGGAACCGGGTTTTACAGATAAAAATCCTTAATAACCCCCGCGCCTTATCATGTCTTCGAGGCGTCTCAAAGCGCTTCACAGAATAGACTGTCAAGTGAATCGACTGCGTATTCTGTGGCCGAAACACGGCAGCCAATTGCGCACAGCAGCGTCCCCACAAACAGTGGTGGGTTGAGAGGTGAAATGAAACCAGGTATTGGTGCGTGTGTTTAGAGCATCAACTTGTAATGTAAGTAATTCACAGATTATCCTTTGTCCTCCCCCCAGGATACTGCCCTCGCCATGTGGATTCCATCTCTCATACTATCTGGCGTCGAGGTCTTTCTGTCCATTAGATGTTTTTTGGTGGCTCTAAACTTGCTGGGAAGCGTTAAGCGTCGTCGTAAGAACGTCAGGAAACTGGTAAGAAATGCTCGGGGGTAGCCCCAACCCATCCACAGCAGAATATATTAACGACACATCCGCTGTCTGTACGGATAAATAAAGTGTTAGTGTGCGTTAGCGTGTGAACGTTGGTGGGTGCGTGTGCGTGCGTGTGTGCGAGAGAATGTTTGTGTTCGAGTGTGTTTGTGTGTGTTAGAGTTAACAATGTTATTTCTATTATTATTATATATAAACAAGGCGTTACCTTAAGGGGTTAAAGGTGATAACATCAGCAGCAACAAGTTACATTTGCATAACGCCTTTCAAGTCGAGAGAACGTCCCAAGGTGCTGGCAATCTATTTTCCGATCTCCGCTGTGTGGAAGTTTCGGGCCGGTGTCAGCGCACACAGAGTAAGATAACTTAAACATCTCACCCGCCCATAGTTGTGTTGCCAAGACTTGTCTGCAAAGCGAGGAGGGGCAGCATGTCTTACATACTGTCAGTGCAGCAGAGTAAATCAAGGCTCTTTCAGTTTCCCCAAACGTCCATCTACACGAGGAGCGAAGAATTCTGTCGAGTTGGCAGGAGACATTTTGATTTGCTGATTGATTTGGAAACCTCCATTAATGCTGCCGTTGTGTTAGCTGCGATGGGGGGTTGGGGGCAGTGCGGGGGTTGAGGAGAGGATGTGGGTATTTTAATCGCCATGTCCTACCCTTACATACCTCCATCACCCAAATGTCTGTGCAGCTATTCTGATTATGAGAAGGCAGTGTGAAACTGCAATTTCTTTCTTCTTTTGTGTTTAGCAAAAAGAGTTCATCTTCACACCAGGTTCATGTATCATCCAAATTGCCGCCTCAGTCGATTTCTCCCCAATTGAACAACAACAACAACAACAACAACTTACATTTATCTTAAAGCCGGGCAGCGTCCTGGAGCGCTTCAATCATTGCACAATATCACAACTCCTCTCTCCTCTCTCCCGCACAGGTTAGAGTGAATCCACTGGAGGACATTCAGGAGGTGGATGAAGGCAATGAACTTCTTGAGCCAACGGCAGTGAGGTTCTGGGTGTGACTGTGATCTCAGCCTACTTTGCCTCAAGATACAACTGTGGAAAAAACACACACTCTCCTGACAAGTACTAGGAGACGTTTGCAGGGTTTGTGGGCTCTCCACACAAACTGATCCAAACCCAAGTGAAGAGACATTCATGTGTGTGTGTGTGTGTGTGCTTTGTTGTGAAAAAAAACTCCTGACCCAACGTGAACAGCTTCAAGAGGATCTCTTTTAAACCTGAAGACTTTGCTGCGGATTTCGCGCCTTCATGACTGGGAAATGATGTCCTTTTCCCAACCACAGGAACAACGTACACAAGCAACTCTTTGGAACCTCGTGAACTACATGCCACATTGCTGGCGAACTCAAAAGAACTTCAGGGAATTATAACGTGCAGGAAATACTAACGTGCAGATCGAACAAGACTTCTAAAGTGTCCAAAAATATTGTGTTATTTTTTTAAAAAAAAAACTGTCCACACTATCCTGGATGTTCCGAATATCCAGTGTATCCCGTGAAGCGCATTTCTGGAAACATCCTTCCAACCTGAGAGGCACTACGTCAAACATAGAGGGTTTATTGTTATTCTTTTAAAATTATTTTTGTTGAAAATGGCATGAACTGTTTCACAGATGAGCTAATTTAAGGACGGGAGGGTGGCAGCGATCGATCACCAAAAGTCAGGTCGCAATTCATTGGAACAGCTTTGCGTCCGCTGAACACCGTAGAAATCCCGCAAAACCCAAGAGAAATCATACGGTCTAGTGCCTAGCGCCTGTTCATCACCTCCACCCCCCACCCACCCACCACCCCCATGGGGAGATTGTGGAATTCAGACGCTCTAAATAGCACGACACCCAAGGGAATGCTTGTCTCCTACCTTGCAGTGCAGCACATCCATCTGTTCAAAACTCACTAAAATGGCTGTAAACTGCATGAGCTGTCATCCTGCCTGAAACACATAACACAGAAATAGCTTCCTGACACTCAGACGCTCAGTGTGCGCCGTGCTGGAGAACACGGATCAGCTGTGCAACCTTGTCCTTGATCGTTCCATTAAGTGGAAACGGAGAGCACACACTACACCACGTCTACCTTTGTCCACAAAGTATACAGTCGCTGCACTTTTACAGTATTGCCTGTAAAGCGCTTTGAGACGTCTCGAAGACGTGATAGGGCGCTGTATCAAAATGCAAAGATTATTATTATTATTATTACTATTAATATTATTACACCCACCAGAGCACCCGAAGGAAATTGTTTACTTGCAGTACTTTGCCAAGCGACCTGACACGTATAGATTGTGCCGTGAGACGCAGCATCTAGAGACGGAGAAGCTATTTTCCCCAAAACAAGGGCGCACTCTTAAGATTAGAACCAGGCCATTTAAGAGTGAAATCGGGCAGCATTTTTTCACTCAAAAGGGAGTAGAATTCTGGAATTCTCTCCCCCAAAAGATGCTGCATCCATCCACATCTTCGAGAGTGAGGGAGGTTGATAAATGTTGGTGGGTCAGGCTCGAAGGGCTGAATGGCCTCCTCCTCCTGTTCCTATGTTCCTCATTGTATTTCCCAGAAGGAGTTAAACAGGTCGGGAAGGTGTGGTCACTGAAGAGCCGTGTTACAATTGCAAGCTCACAAAAGGTGCTTGAAATTTGCTTTTTTTTTAGCTGAAACTATAGAATGTGTCACCCAGTCTCTCGGGAGCCTTCAGAATAGGATGAGCTCATTGTTTCCGGTATTTGTATGAAACCTGTGTGTTCTGAAACATTCCTACAAAGACACCGCTAAATCCAGTCCAATCCTTGGAACATAGGAACAGGTCATTCAGCCGCCCCCCCCCCCCACCCCCGAGCCTGTTCCACCCATTCTATTAGATCATGGCTGATCTGTACCTCAACTCCAATTATTACTAATTATCATCAATTAAATATTGGAAGTCCTTACACTCCTTGCTCGGTTCCCACCTCTCACGCTGAGTGAGATTTAAAAAAAAAGTAATAATTTGGTCACACAATCCGCGACTGTTTGTGTGGGGACGCTACTGTGCGCAACGCAATTGGCTGCCGCGTTTCGCCCACAAAACATACAATCAATTCACTTTACAGTCTATTCTGTGAAGCGCTTTGAGACGTCTCGAAGACGCGGTAAGGCTCTGTATCAAATGCCAGGATTATTCTGATACATTATCATTCCAAGTGTTTTGAGAGGTTGGTGGACTCGTAAAACCAAGTTGCTGTGTGGATTTCTCTCTCGCTATTATTACTCACCTTCGCTGATCATCCTTTTACTGTCGGTCACACTCCCCACCCCTTGCCATCTTATCCCAGCAATGAAAACAGCTGAGTTCTCTTCCCATAACAAGGCTGTTGTGGGGACAGGTTGGCAAAATCTACCACCATTTTAAGGTTAATTGACTTGAGAAGTCAGGGCTCTGTCATTGCAACATCATAAACATAGGAAAACTAAACACAAACGTCCGGGGTTTGGGACTGTTTGTTTAAAACAGAACACAAGTTGCCATTGGCAACCTTATCCCAAAAAACTGGTTCCACCGCATTGCAAAGATTCCTGCTGAGTGACCCTTTGACTGCCACGGTGGCTTGTGTCCACCCAAGAACACATTATAAAACAGCCCCACAATATTGGGAGGGCGTCCCAAGGCGCTGGACAGTCAGGGATTTGGACCTGAGCTGGTGGGGGTGGGGTCGGGATCAGGAGGAGGTGGGGGGTGGGGGTGTAGGGAGGGCTTATAATAGGGTAACCTTCTGACCCAACAGAGTCAGGCTGACCCAAAACAAGCGGCATTTCTTTGCCTGTTAAATCGGAGCGTAAACGTTTACAACTAGTCGTAAAGTGCCCTTCACGTGGTGTAGGGTCCTGGAGCGCTTGATTGTGTGTTGACTTCCCTCTGAGACCGAGACGGAGATGCTTAGGCTTAAGATCAGGTCCGCTTTGTCCGATGAGTTGTCCCCTGCTGCCCCCTGTAGGTGTACCACGTACATGTACAGTGGTTATCTTTGGAACGCCAAGCTTTTCGTATCGTCTTCCCTGCTGAGAGATAATAATAATCCTCGCGCTTGATACAGAGCCTCATCACGTCTTCGAGGCGCCTCAAAGCGCTGCGCGGAATATACTGTGAAGCGTAGTGACTGCACAGTTTGCGGGCGAAAGGCGGCAGCTGATTGCGCACAGCTTCTCCGCTGGTCGCCAGCTCAGCTAAACTAACCTTTGCTAGGACACGTATTTTAGGGTGCGACGTCGATCAGAAGGTTCCCCCAATCACGACGACGACGATTAAAGAAAAGGAATTTCCATTGTGCTTTAAAACAATGATATTTTAATTCAGAACAGTATTTTAAGATGAATTACATCAACACATATTTTTTTTTATTTATTAAAAAATACATTAACCCTTCGTTTGAACAATCTGATTAGGACCAGGACCTTGAGTTTCAGCATTACCTGCTCCGAAGCCGGGTTTAAAACATCCGCGTTAGAGTGGGCTTTCCTGCACCACAGGGGGGGTCAAGTGCATACCTGTCCCAGGTTGGTTTTAATCTGGGGGAGTTGGCTATGTTTTGTGGTACAAGTCTGGTGGAATCTCGCCTTCCTTCAGGACAAGCCGCGATTTACGCAACCGTGCAAGTGATCAGTTTCTGCGTCGTCTAAAAGTTGCAGATCGGGCCTTCTACGGGATTATTGTTAAAGCTTCAGAATGGTTGGAACTTGTGAGATTCGACTGGGATTTGTAATCGCCAGGTATGGTGGCTGCCTGGATGAGTCCTCACCTCTTGGCTCTTTTAAACCCGGAGAGTTGTTTTGATCCAGAACGCACTGCCTGGAAAGGGAGGGGTGGGGGGAAGCAGATTCGATGGCATTAGCTTTCAAAAGGGAATTGGATAGGGACTCGAAAAGGACAACTTTGCAGGGCTATGGGGTAGGGGTGAGAGCGGGGGGGGAGTGGGACTAGCTGGCAGCACTTTCAAAGAGAGTGGCACAGGCACGTTGGGCCGAATGGCCTCCTTCTGTGCTGTAAGATTCTACGATTCTCGCCTCAGGCGAAGCCAGACTCCGGCATTTGATTGCAGTTTTAGGTTCCATCGCGTACAAATCCTTTTCTTTTTTGCAAATCTCACAAGTTAGATCCCCATTTGCTCTGGACTTTGCAAGACCCTCAGTACGACTCTGAGGCTTTCCTCGCCAGAGCTAAGTGTGACGTGGAAATAAGACAGATTCTTCAAATCAAATCCGCTCTGATATGAGCGAGTCCTACCGAACCCGCCTGAGGGAAGAGTCAATTTTTTGAGCAGTTTTATCCGTTTAAATTTTGGGTCCAGTTTAGCTGGGATTCATCGAGAGGTCACTGGTACATACATCCCTAATGCTGTTTGTAAGACTTTTGTGACAGGAACAGACTGAAGCTGATATTATAGTCACGGACCCCCTTTGCTACACAAACCGATCGTCCCACTGTGAACGTGTGTGTGTGTGTGTGTGTGTGTGGGTTGGGGGGGGAAAGTGTGGCGGGGGCTGTCCAACAATTTTGGCCAACGTTGCGCCTTGCACACACACACACACACACACACGTTGCTAAGGACCCCTTCTGCTTTCTAAGCATAAACTACATCTCCCACAGTGACCTGCCAGGGGTGGGAGGAGGTGGGTGGGGGGGTGTATTTGGGTATTTTTGGGACCAGATCAATCTGTTCATGCAAAACCCAAATGGATTTCTCTCATGCAGAACAATTTCAGATCAGCCTGGGAATTACAGTTGAGGTGCGGGTGGGGCGTGCGGGTGGGGGGTGGGGATGTGTGGGGTGTGTGTGATTGTGGGGAGGCTTTGAGCATAAAACTAGAGCAGCTATAATGTGCTTGAAGCATGTCGTCAAAAGCTGCCAAGCACGTCATTGGTAGGAAATGGCAACTTTACATTCGTAACGTCATTTATGTCTGTTTTTTTTCCTCCCTCTCCGTGATGGGGTTTTCCGATCGTGTCGGGGTGGGCGGGGTTTTTTTGGGGGACGCGCCGTTCAGTTCCATTCCGTTCCGCTCCGCGGGGGCAGCATCTGACCCGTCAGGCCTCGAAGCGTCGGGAAAAATTGATCGATGCTCAAAAGTGTTCGGTTGAAACCGGGGGAAAAAAAAACACAAGACCAAAAAAATAATAATAATAATAATAATAAAAAGTGAAACCGCAGGTGACGAGAACAGTCCTCTTGTCGACGATGACAACGACTCCTCCTCGGGATGGGATGTCTTCCCTCCGTCCTTAACGCTCGTCCTCTGGTGCAAGGAGGATCGATTGACAATGAGATGGAGACCAGACATGGAGAGGGTTGGGGAGTGGAATTGGGGTTATATGGGCCTGGGGGCTGGGGTTGGGAGTTGGGGGCTGGGGTTAGGGCTGGGGGTTGGTATTTGGGGATTTGGGGCTGGGGTTTGGGGGGTCGGAGTTGGGGATTGGGCCTCCAGATGGGGTTGGCAACTCAGCTGGAATGAAAGCTCGCTCCTCGTTACTTCAGGCGATCAATGTGGCTGGCGTCATGTCCCATTAGAACTGAGAAGCACTACTTGGATCGCACTGTAGTAACCGTACAATGGATGGGTCGCTCTTGGCACCTTTGATGAATTCTTCAAGGGACAATTTACCTTGAAAAAAAAATTGATATATTTATATATATATTTATATATATTTTTTAAGAGAGAGAAAAAGAGAACGGAAAGGAAGAGATATTTTTAAAACAATCGTTATTTCTGAACAGGGAATCAATGCCTTAAATACACAATACAATACAAAATGGCATTCACGCCAGTGCCTGTCACGTCGGGAGGACGTCCCAAGGCGCTGGACAGTCCAGGATTGGGATTGACTAAAGGGCAGGATGTTAGTTGGAAACCATGTTATACAGGAAACCGCTAAATCAAAACAAGGGAAATAATAACAACATCCTGACTGAATAATGGTAATGTCCTGTGCAGAGACATGAAGAACAAGTCAGGCCAAGTGTCCCTGAGGGCGATATATACACAGCATTGACATGATCCGCTCAGCAACGCAGGGAAAAGGTTTAGCACCAATGTTTAATACTATTGAGCTGATTTGACAAAATCTAATCATTTCGTAGCCTCCAGCATTATTCCCAGATTGTTAGAAGGAAACTGTGAACATTCACACGGCTGTTCTGGTACATCTGATCCATTTAACCTCTCAAATACCAGTCACCCTCCTACCCCCACCCTCCCCGTCCTCCACCCCTCCTGATCCCAACCACCAGCTCAGATCCAAATCCTTGACTGTCCAGTGCCTTGGGATGTCCTCCCGACTGTCGATTCACTTTACAGTGTATCCTTGGAAGCGCTTTGAGACGTCTCAAAGACGTGATAAGGCGCTGAATCAAACACAAGGATTATTATTATTATTATTATCATCACAGCATCAAGCTTTTTTTTTCACGCGAGTCAATGTCCCGGCCTCCACCACTTTTCCAGGTGACTTGTTCCAGACGTTGAATAAACCTCTGAGTCAACCAAAACCTGTGGGGATTCTACTCCACGAGCAGATACAATAATTCCTTCAAAAATACTACTAATAATAAATTGGTCACTTCAATTGAGACATCTCGAAGACGTGATGAGGCGCTACAAGAAATGCAAGGATTATTATTAGTATTATTGTTGTTATTATTAAGGCTGGGATAAATCAACGCGAAAGGAAGTGAGCGGCTGACCGTTTTACCGTCATTATTTGAATCCATCTGTCTGAAGATTTTATCTGTTCTCTTCTCTGGTGTTGATTCATCTTCCGGCATCTTCATAACCGAGGACACCATTTTGTAGATCGCCTTTAAAACACAACCACATCCCAGTCAGCCAGCCCCGTGCCACGGTGAGATGAAACCACAAGTTTAACCCCCCAACGTCAATCCCTTCCCCTCTTCAATGGGACGGGGAACGTAACTGGGAAATAACGACAAGATCGGAGGAATCAAATACAAATGTGAATTCCCAATGCCACCGTGAGTTGCCGTTGATATCGCCATCTGGCCAGCTTTCCCGCTGCTTGTCCAGCTATGACCCACCCAAGCCGTCAGACAGGGCTTTGGCTGCGGGGTTAACAGGAGCTGAGGGGGAGGATTCCCTGCCTCCAGTGACTGGTCGGCCTTCCAGGTCCTGTCGATGAGCCGGGCCGGGCTGGGCTGCCATCAGCAGTGAGTACCCTGGAATACCGCGGCCCCTCCTGGCTCAGGAACCGGGACTAGAGACCGGCACAAAGTGGGGGGGGGGGGGGCTCGATTCCAACAATCTGTTGCCAGGCAGGTCAGCTTGGACCATTCCAGCTCCAAGAAGGCCTCGCTTGCCTCCCCCGCTGGGAGGCGTGGAATTCTCAGTTGGGTTTGGAGGCTCTTGAGCGCGGTGATGGGATTTCCGTGCGTGTCAAGACAAAAAGTGATGATGGGCGAGTGTCAGCAGAGGGCGCTTCAGATGTGATTTGGCAGAGACACACACACACACACATTCCTGCAGCGTTAAATAACATGTTCCACTTAAACCAAGACATCAGTCTTTCTAACCCATATCCTGATGTGCTAAGGTGCTGAGGCTAAATAAGTATAGGGCCAGCAGAGGTGCAGGGCTGCTCTGATGTGACGCCTCACCCAAGCGAATACGTACGACAATAACACCAACAACTTGGGATTCGTATAGTGCCCTTCACGCTGGGTAGCATCCTGGAGCAACACATCGGGGTGGCGTACTGAATTACACCGTCAATTCACTTTTACAGCGTATTCTGTGAAGCACTTTGAGACGTCTCGAAGACGTGACAAGGCACTGTGTCAAATGCGGGGATTCATCAATGAATGAATTCTTAATAAGCGATCTGGGCTGCTAATGCAAGTTGTTGTTGAATGAATGAATGAATGAATGACAGATGGCAGTGGTACATAAGTACTCAAAAAAGGGTTAAAAAGCACATGATTCAGGGCTGTGCTATGTATTATTAATGCCAGGTGGCGGGGAGGAAGGGAGGTGGTCACTGCAATTCAATTGATGGTCAAAGCCTGGCTCACAGCCTCAGAGCTGATCCTGGCTTGGTTCCAAACACCATGTCGCTGATCAGCTGTGTATCTCAATCTCACACACAGCAGAGCAGAGAGGATAAGGCCAACAGTGTTTCACTAATGCAATTTCAAGTGGAGCCAGGTTATCTTCACCGCAGAGATAAAAGCACTCGCAAATCAGCAAAATCCAGATGAATGCATATTTGATCCGAGCAAACCAGAGAGAGAGAGAGAGAGAGAGGGGGGGGGAGAGTTCTTTTGAAAATGAACTTTCATTAGAGCAGAAATCCTGATTAAGACTAAACTCGATGTATGATTTCATTCCCCTTTCAAATCCAGTCAGAACCCAATGCCTCACCGTTCTGTCATTATCTGAGCTTTACATCGTCTCAGAAAATCCCTTTTATAATAAATCACGTCTCAATGATGTGATAAGGTCTATCAAATTCAAGGATTATTATTATTATTAAACTCAGGCAGAATAAAAACCCTCTTAAGAGTGAGAGGTTTTAAATAGTTAAAATGTTAATAAAACGGATTGAATGTGGAATATTACAGAATTGGATCCATTACTTGATCATCTTTTTTTAGATGTTTTGAATGTTTTTTTTAAATGAATGGGATTTAATAATAATAATAAACTTTGGCAAGTTCCCTTACTCCACATGCCTAATAATCCCTCCAAAATAAAAATAAATCGGTCATCTTCAATCCACGGCTGTTTGTGGGACAGACGCTGCTGTGCGCAATTGACTGCCGCGTTTCGCCCACAAATGAACGGTCAATTCACTTTACAGTCTATTCTGTGAAGCGCTTTAAGACGTCGAGAAGACGTGAAAAGCACTATATCAAATGCAAGAATTATTATTATTAAATCCATTCGGCTGTCGTGAATTAAAATCAAATGGTTAAAATATTCTCCGATACATCAGAAGGCGTTGTCCTTAAAGGGCTGTTAGACTAAGCTTCGTGCTTGCCTTGCCTCACAAGCAAGAGGACCCGGGTTCGATTCCTGAGAGGACCAATTGTTACTAATTATTTTGAAAGGATTATTACTCCCGGAAAAGCGATCCGCCAATCCACGAACAGCTGGGTTCCCACTCATTGCTCGGTAAACCGAGGCGGGTGTGTGGAGTAAGGAAACTTGCCTAACGTTTCGCCCTGCGTAAAAGTACAAACTCTATTAAAAAGAAATGATATGCCACACATCACTTGCTGACGCTGTTTCACGGACAGGGATTTCCGCCCCCTTTGAGGGCTGCGATAACTGACGTTTGCAAAGTTAGCCGAGGTCACACCAGATGGACAGCAGAACGATCGATACTTGTACAGCTAAAGGCGAAGGATTATTAAACCTGTCCCCACTTCACAAGGAACGACCCTATGCAAAGCCATGCTCTGTTCGCTCAGCCCTCCCGCAGTGAAAGCTCCCAGAGAGACTTTGTGGCAATCGTTACAGCAGAAGCCAAAACATCACAGGGATGAAATGCACCGCCTTGCGAACGTAACTCCAAACGAAAGCCCCTGAAAGCCACTGTGCCATAACCCGGCAGGAGCCCCCACTCGGACCGAGAGAGCAGTGAGGAGATGCCATCGCAGTGGTGACAATACCTGGAGTTACACAGGTACGGCTGGTTAGTGCTCACTGCCATCCCATCGCACAGCGTGCGTCAGTTTAAGTGGCCACGCTGACCACGATAAACTCCCAGCACTGACTCAAACGTGTTCCTCTCCAACCCATTATGTCCAAACACCGAAATTATTCACACGCACTGCGTTTATCTCCTCAGGATTATTACCCCCGGAAAAGTGATCCACCAATGGACTAACAAACGGGTTCCCACTTACTGCTCGGTAACCAAGAGGCGCGTGTGTGGAGTAAGGAAACTTGCCTAAGATTTCGCCCTGTCCTGCCCGGGAATCAAACCCATGTCCTCTCGTTTGCGAGGCGAGTGCTATAACCACTGAGCTACAGGACTCCACCTGTCTGTATGTGTGTGTTGTGGAATCGTACAACGAAAGGCCTGGGTTTCAGCTGTGATAATAATATTAATAATAATATTAACAATAATAATCCTTTCATTTGATATAGCGCTTTTCACGTCTTCTCGACCTCTCATAGCGCCTTCTTTCGTCTTCGAGACGTCTCAAAGCGCTTCACAGCATATACAGTAGAGTGAGTTGACTGTTTTGTGACAGGTGTGGAAACGGTCAAAGGTGAGGGCGAAAGCAATTGGTAGCTATCGTGACAAAGGTCTATAGGCGCTGAGTGAAAGCAATCCCTTTCCCACTGCAGAGGAATGCGGGCTTGGATTCAGAAGAACGGATTAGTGGCGAGATCTCTTTATCCTTTAACTCTATCTCCCGCATCACCTGAAGGGCTACAGAATTAGCCTCACGGAATGAGCTTGATTTTCAGTGAATATCCAATGTCAGATTGTCCTTAGACGATCCAGATTAATGTACGCCTCGTAATAAAGGAGAACACGACGGTCCCAAAATACAACCTTCACCGAGGCAGCACATCAGGGCTTACGTCATCCAGGGAATTGAAAAAAACACAGATGGTGAAATCTGATTAGATACGGCCGAAATTCATTTAAACAGGCCAATAGGTCATGTCCGCAGTGCAAACCGTTTTGGTCCAAACCCGGACAATTTTTGCGGTGACCCTCATTTTTTTTAATAAAAAAATACTAATTTGGTCACTCAATCCACGGCTGTTTGTGGGGACGCCGCTGTGCGCAATCGGCTGCCGCGTTTCGCCCACAAAATATGCAGTCGATTCACTTGACAGCGTATCCTGTGAAGCGCTTTGAGATGTCTCGAAGACGTGATGAGGCGCTGTGTCAAATGCGAGGATTATTATTATCATCATTATTATAGTTGAAAGCCGGACTGTTCCTGAAAACACACTTGTTTGCCTCAAGATTATCTGTTAACCTGTGTGGCTGAGCCTCTGCACATTTAATGCCAAATCCCTGTTAAATATAACTCCGTAATCCATCATATCTGGCATGTTTAACTGATGAAGGTTGCCAGTGGTCAAGCAACATCTGTGAACAGCATGCTCACTCACCTCCCCCCACCCACACCCCCCCCCCCCCCCCCCGGCTCCCCTTCCTCCCTGATTGACCCTCAATGTGTATCTGAAGCAACGTTTCTGAAAGCAGGTCTGATATCTGCGGCTCTTAAACTGTGACATAATAATAATCCTTGAATTTAATACAGCGCCTTATCGCGTCATCAAAACTTCTCAAACGCTCTTCGGGTTGCTCCTGGTTATCAATATGACACAGATTTATATTGATAGAGTATTAACGTCCAGCATTAAAGGTGTCAGTCTGGCTCAGCTGGTCGTCGGGACTCAGAACTCACAGCCTAGATTGACCGCTCTCCCTGCCCGCCCTCCACCCCCTCCTGATCCCAACCCCCAGCTCGTGTCCAAATCCCTGACTGTCCAGTGTCTTGGGACGTCCCCCCTAACGTGAAAGGCGCCGTTTGAATGTCATTTGTTGTGTGTGTGTGTGTGAGGGTGGGGAGGGCTTTTCAAAGCACTTCACAGGATGGACTGGAAACCATTGCCCATGGGTTCAGAATTAGGGACTTGAGAACCTGGGTTCAAATCCCAGTCGGTCCAGTGAGCCCCATTGACATTGACAACAGCAGTTATGATGTTATTAATATATCTTCCTGGGTTTGATTTGAGATAAGCGAGGAATCCCAGGGAATTAATTGGTTCCAGGGAGGAATGCCTAGCTAAGCCACACAGTCCTGCTGTAATCCCACGGTCTCTAGAGTATTTTCTAGCCATCACTAAAAATAGCAAGCCTTCCTGCTATGGGATTCCCTGTGAAAATAAACCCCACTGTTGCGGATTGAACTCTGTGAAGCAAAGTTCCGTTGGGAAAATGGTCCTAGCTAGACAAGTCCTGTGAAATGTCCCCAATGCTTTGTACTGATGCCCTGTGCAGTTACTGTCACTTTTTATGGATAAGAGAAATATTAATAATAATAATAATCCTTGCATTTGATATAGCACCTTATCACGTCTTCGAGACGGCTCAAAGCGCTTCACAGAATAAAGTGAATTGACTGTATATTTTGTGGGCGAAACGTGGCAGTCAATTGTGTACAGCAGTGTCCCACAAACAGCCGTGGATTGAATGACGACAATTTTTTTTTGGAGGGATTATTACCCCCGGAAAAGCGATCTGCCAATCGACTAACAACCGGGTTCCTACTTCCTGCTGGGTAAACCGAGGTGTGTGTACGGAGTAAGGAAACTTGCCTAAGGTTTTGCCCTGTCCGGGAATCGAACCCGGGTCCTCTCGCTTGCAAGACTATTTTGTGTTAAAACTTAACAGCCTACAGAAATGAGAAAAATTCTTAAAAGGATCTCAAGGTGGAAGTCAGGTTTTCTGCAGCTTTTGGAAAGAAGCCGGCTTCCAAATCGAAACAAAATTTCTACAAACTTCTTAAATTTTAATCCCTAAACTATCTGAAAGGCCAACACTAACGAGGTGGATTCTCAGGCCGAGAGGAGAGTGGGTCAAGTGCCTCAGATTAAAAATACCTTTAAAATGATGGTAAAGAATGAAAAACTGCTAATAAAGAAAAAAGGGAACTCCAGTGAACTCAGCGACGTACTTCGGTTCATGTCTAAGCAGCTAACACAGTGATCTTGGTGCATTGCAGCATCTCCTGCTGGCACAGGTAGCTGATTATAACAGGAGGTCCTCGAGCCTGGATTGAGATGGAGAGTCACCTGTGTGGGGACAGACAGTGTTGTGGTCCTCGCAGAGTGACTGAGATGTTCACCATCCATCCATCCATCTCTTCTGAAAAGGACTTAAGATAAATGCTCGAGAAAGAACCCTAAAGTGTGCAATTGGCTGCTGCGTTTCGCCCACCTACTGTAATCCCCAACGCAAAAAAAAAAATCTTGGCAATAACAAGGCCAGTATTATGTAGTCGATCTCAGTTGGTTCCTCCTAATGAGAGTCACAGCAGATACACCAGGGATGAACATTGTTGGTTCCAGATTTGTTTTTCCCAAAGATGAGACAAAAAATAATCAGCTTTCCAAAAAAGGCACCTGTTTCATTTACTGCTGCCCTTCACGCCACATCGACCTGTCCATTCCCTCCCCTCAGCAGGCTCTGGCTTGCTCCACACCCCCCGCCCCCCCCCCCCACTACCCGCCCGGCCCACCACCCACCCCACCATTGGCGATAGGGCCTTCAGCCTCTCTGCCCCCCACCCTTTGGAACTCCATCCCAGTCCCTTCACCTCGCTCCCTCGCTACCTCCCTCCCTCGCTCCCTCGCCTCCTTCAAGGCACGTCTCAAGACCCTGGCATTTGACACAGCGCTGTCCACGTCTTCGAGACGTCTCAAAGCGCTTCACAGACTATACTGTAAAGCGCAGTGACTGTATATTTTGTGGGCGAAAACTGTACAGGTCCTATTGCTGAGTCACTGCTCGAGTGCAGTTGATTTCCTTTTGCTTGATGTGATCAACCGTGGGAAAGAAAGGCTAAACATTTCTCTCTCACCCACATGCGATTCCCCCCACCCACCCCCAGAGCACCTGTGTGACAAACACTGTCGTTTAAAGCTGGCGGGGAGTGGAAATCAACGAGGGGCTGAATTAGTTTCTCAATTAAAGCATTTCGACCGCTGTTCCCTTGAATTATTCAGGAGGTTTGCGTATATGTACAGCACGGACACAACGCTGGGTTTCTTTGGGAGCTCGAGGAACAGTGTTCATTGATGGCTGCAGTAACGTGGGATTCTCTCTCCCCCCCACCCCCCCACCTTCCCCCCACCTCCCACCCCCCACCCCGTGTCTGCGCTGTGTGGGAGGCCCATGTTACCGGGGTCTGTTTTTGATCGCTGAACAGTACAGTACAGACAGGCCAGGCTCAACAGCAACCACTTCTCAGACGGCAGAGAACAGCAAGATTAATATTTAAACACTGTCAGTGTCACACGGCAGGTGGGAGCGGAGGTGGGGTGTGGGGGTATGTTACCGAGACCCTCTTCACGTGAAATAGGAGGCAGGAATTTATGTAACGCGATTTATATTCATCTATTCTGTGGGGTCCCTGAGCAACCCAAACAGGAGTGGGTGGATTGAGAGACCAAATCGTTTTTCGTTTTATATACGAGGGATTATTACCCCCTCCCCCCCCCGGAAAAGCAATCGGCCAGTTGACAAACAATGGGGGTCCTGCTTATTGCCGGGTAAGGCAGATGTTTAATTAAACGAGTCAATTAAATGTTGGGGTCCCAACTTATGTGAGTGTTTCACCCAAAGACTAATGGAAATCTGGGACTCTTTCTCTCTCTCTCTCTCTCTCTCTCTCTGTCTCTCTCTCCTCCAAAAGGCTGTGGGTTATCAGATCAATTCAGTTTGTGAGGTCGGGGTATCAAGGGACATGGGGCAAAGGGCGGGTAACAACAACAACTTGCATTTGTACAGCATCTCTCAGGCGGACTAACGTCCCAACTACCTCCAGCCTAATTGGAGTCGAGGCACAGATCAGCCGGCGAATCTAGTAGAATGGCGGAACGGGCTGGAGGGGCTGAATGGCCTCCTCCTTCTCCTCCTCTTTCCTCCTCGTTCCTACCCGAGCGCGTTTGGGGATGGGGGTGGTGGGGTGAGGGGTGGGGGGGGGGGGGTAACCCGCACCTGTACGATCTCCAGCATCTCGTCGCGACTGATGTAGCCGTTCCCGTCCAGGTCGTACATGCTGAACGCCCACTTGAGCTTCTGCTCCAGTTTGCCGCGGGACGTGACGCTCAGGGCGATGATGAATTCCCGGAAGTCGATGGTCCCGTCGGCGTTGGTGTCGAAGGTGCGGAACACGTGCTCGGCGAACTTGGAGGCGTCGCCGTAGGGGAAGAAGTTGGCGTAGATCTTCTTGAACTCTTCCACCGTCAGATTGCCGCTCGGACAGTCTTTGAGGAAACCCTTGTACCATTCCTGCAGCTCGTGGTCGGTGAATTCCGTGTTCGCCCGGAGGTCCTGGAGCATCTCGGGGCGCAGCTTGCTGTTCTGTTTGCCCATGGCGGCTCAGGTGGTTGACACCTGCTCGAGGAGGGGGGGGGATGGGAGGGGAGAGAGAGTGAGAGAGAGAGAGAGAGAGAGAGAGAGAGAGACCAACGACAGTCAGGGCGTTGCAAACCACAAACAGCGAATCGCGTTTATTCTAACGGTAATAATCCTCGTTAATTCTAATGGTAATAATCCTCGCATTTGGCACAGTGCCTCATCGCGTCTTCAAGACGCCTCAAAGCGCTTCACAGGACACGCTGCCACGTTTGCCCACAAAACCAGAAGACGTTCATCGTACTTTATAGGACATGCCTTGAAGAGCTTTGGGGCCATTCCCCCAGTCACTACACCTTGCAGTGTATCCTGGGAAGCGCTTTGAGACGCCTCAACTATGTGATGAGGCGCTGTGTCAAATGCAAGGATTATTATCATTATTATTACTATTATTATTATTATCATTCTCCCAACCTGAAAGGTGTGATGCCAAATGTAAGGATTATTATTTATTATGTAGGTTTTCAGCATCTCGTTGAACCAAACACGTTGATTGAGATATCCTCTTGTTATGGATCGGGATGGAGAGAGTTGACTGGCGTCTCGAGACAAGTGTGAATGTTGATGCCTTTTTCCTATTTTCTCCTGTTTCCGACCTGTCTTACAGGAAGGAACTCAAGGGTGAGGATGTTATGCAAATCTAATAGACTTGCAGCAGGCGGTTAGGACAATATTAACATAATTCACCATTATCCCTCGGGTGGATAAACAGTCCTACACATCTCATTCACTGGTGGCAATCACTCATCTCTCAGCGCTGAAAGCCATTGGAGTTTTTCTACACTGTTCTTCCCATTGCTTGGACTCAGATCAACATCTCTGCATGTTCTTGTCTCTGTGGTACACATTGTGAGCTCTCACTGCAATGTTTCTGCAGCCAATGAATATTTCAATTGGAAACAAACTCTGCACCATGGAGCTGAGCCCAATTACACTTCCTTCACTCCGTCCCGTCCTCCCTCGCTCGCTCCCTCCCCCGCACTCTCCCTCGATCGCTTCCTCCCTCACCTTGCTGAATAAAACATCCTGCATTTGTAAGCAGTGATTAGCTGGGATTTCATAAGCACTTTGTTACAGTATTAGAAAACTGGCCTTGCTTGACCCCCTGCTATATCAGGTCATCACAGTGTATAAATACTCCACCTCTTACCTCCAAAAACAGCGCAACACCTGATGGCGTTCATCTTAACTCACCGTTAGTTAATTAATCTAAACATTAAAAAAATTAAAACTAGACACAGACAATTAAAAGTAGTCGGAATTAGAAATCAAGTCAATCCAACACAGCACCTGGGTCAGCACCACGAGATGTCTTCACAAAGAACGCCACAAAACACACAGTCACTCCACTTCACAGTATATCCTGTGAAGCGCTTTGAGACGTCATCTAGTTTTCGGATGATTGCTGAGGGATGTGCATTTGCCAGGACCCCGGGAGAGCTTTTTTTTACAAAATGGTGACACAGGTAACGTCCACCAGAACACACCACCCACCTCAGATGAACATCATGTCGTGTTAGACATCAGCAGTAGCAACAGCAGTGCAGCACTCTGCCCAAGGACTGCACTGAGACGTGCAACACAGGCAGGAGCCAGTTTTGTGCTGAATTTTTTTTTTTGGCCAGTGTTAGGGTAGCCGAGCATTCAAACTTAGTCTCGTTCACTCCTCCCATCCCTGCAGAGAGTGAAATGCGCAGCTTAGGCGAACAGAACATCGATAAGGAGTTTGAATCGGTTTCGAGAGATTTATTATAATAATAATAATCCTGGCATTCGATACAGCGCCTTATCACGTCTTCGAGACATCTCAGAGCGCTTCACAGGATACACTGTAAAGTAAATTGACTGTATGTTTTGTGGGCGAAATGGCGGAACAGGCTCGAGGGGCTGAATGTTCCCGGCAGCTCAAGATTCATATTAGATTCACAATATTTTGACTGCATCCCGTTTATCCTCAGCCTTGCTTGCAGAAGAACAATAGGTTTACAATTCAAAAAAGAGCAGAGGGCCACCTAAGCCGGTCCAGTGAGGTACATAAATTTGATAGCGGTTTTATTATTGAATCGCCTCACTCCATTACCCCTTTCCTTTCCTTGAAAGTTACCTGTCTTTGCTGAGTTATTGGTTTTAGAGGTTCCCGGTGAAGCTCAGATGATTTGAATTTATATTGGAATATTCAGTGGATGTTACAGATAATTTTATACACAGATAAAACTGTTTCGCCCACAAAATATTCTATTTGATCCTGGCTGATCTGTACCTCAACTCCAATCTCTGGAAGGCTTGTGGACGTAAAGTTGATTTTGTGAATTATTTGCAGTTTATTGTGTCGAGATAATTGCTAGACAGAACTGCCCTGCGGATCCGAACAGGTCAGTCAATGTGATGGGTGTCTGTTCATATTACCGATTCAAACGACTCTGGCTTCATCAACCTTCAGATCACTAACCATTAACCTCACCGTTATGTCACATTGGCCCAGGTAAATCAAACACAAGACTTTCTCTTGGAAGTACTGCCTCAGGGCTCGTCCTTGGCCAGACACATGATGTAATGAGTGTAATTACACCCAGTGTAATGAGATGGAGCTGAGAGATGAGAACACGTTCCCATTAATAGCCATTGGGACCGACATTATAGCACCACACTGCTGTTCAGTTCACCACTTTACAGCAGGTTTCCAGCCAACACTTGTTCACAGGGAGTTGGATCTTTGGTCAAGATAATCCCAATTAAACCTACATCGCTTGAACTAAACACGACTACCATTGGAACAGCTATGGGTTTCCGCAGGAGACAACCAAACGAGGACATACACTGTGCCCTGGATGTGGTATATTTCTTGCCCATCTTCAGGTCCCGCCTGAAGACCTTCCTATTCATCTCCCCCTCCTCCTGGCTTGGGGTCTTGCTCCGCCACTGTCAATCGCTCTGAGACACTACCCTGCATGAGGGCGCACTGTGTAAATGCAAGCGATTGTTATTGTTGATTAAATAAATAATAATAATCCTTGCATTTGATGCCGCGCCTTATCACGTCTTCGAGACGTCGCAAAGGATACACTGTAAAGTGAATTGACTGTAAAGTGGAAGTTTTCTTTATGTTGAGATAATTGCTGGACAGAACTGCACTGCACTGCAGATCCGAACAGTGCATTCAATACGATGGGAGTCTGTTCATATTATGATTCAAGTGACTCTGGGTTCATCAAACTTCAAAGCAAACATGGTAACATCTAGTTGTTCATTTTATAATCCAGTGGAGAGATGAAGATTGCACTAAACTAAACGAGGCCATTTGTGTTGAGAATGAGAATCAACTTTATCGCAAACACATCACTGCACTGACTCTAAGGTTTAAGAAACAATTTCGAGACTGATGTTGGAGGCACTGATGTTGAGATTCTAATAATAATCACTCTTGTGTTCCTGCTAACTCTTGGTTTCACGTTTAAAGGGTAATGTTATCGGATAAATTGTTACCGTTAGCAGAAAACTGCAGATTTCTGAAAAGTAATAAACATTGGAGATTAAAGCATTGATGCCAGGGAACATGCTGCATTATAATTGCTCTCGATTACATTATCCACGACTGTTTGTGGGACGCTGCTGTTCGCATTTGGCTGCCACATTTCTCCCACAGAATATATGCAGTCAATTCACATTACAGTATTTTCTGCAGAGCGCCTTGAGACGTCTAGAAGACGTGACCAGTGCTATATCAAATGCAAGGATTATTATTATTAATAGCAAGGGATGCAGGGCAATTGAAGTTGAGGCACAGATCAGCCATGATCTGATAGAATGGCAGAACAGTCTCGAGGGGCTGAATACCCTCCTCCTGTTCCCATGTCACTTTTTGGTTAGGCTAAAACTCTGACAGTGAGAGAAAATCTCCCACAGAAAGCAATTGAAGAGCACCTGTCTATCCACAGGCAGTGTACAACAGTCCCACTAATAATCCAAGTAACTGGACTCGCCCACAAACCCAATGAATCACAAAATCAATAGGAATTGAACAGTTTGCATCTCATTACTCGACTTGACATTCTCATGACTGACAAGACATTAATTTTCCAACCCATTTACCAATTTGGGGAAACAATTTGCAAAAAGTCTCTTTCTTACTTACATACATACATGCATACATACATAGACAGACACACCTACATACACACAAACACACACAGACACACATACATACACACACATACATACACATACATACATACATATATATACAAATATGAAAAAACACCAAAATGTCAAACCTCAACATTTTCCTTTCCCATTTCCAGAAATTAAAATCGCTGAGGCCCAATATTTTAGTTTTTTTTAAAACCAACTTAAAACAGAAACGTTGCATGTTTTCTCGTCGAAAGAGTATTAACTAAACCACTTTGTTTCATCGCTTCTGAACTCCAAGGTGTGACATTCTTGCTATGGTACTTGTCAGGAGGATTCCAAGGCACAGCTGATGATGTCTTGGCGACAGGATTTGGAGGAACAGACCAGTCACTGGGCAGAGAGTTTGTTGTTTGCTCTGCGAGCTGGAGTCTGAACAGGAAGGTTTGGTGCCAGTTGGACAGGCAGCAGCAGCAACAACAACTTGCATTTATACAGCACTCTTGACACAGGGTAGCGTTCCAGAGCGCTTGTACAGTTTTTGTACCAGGAAGGACGGCGTAATAAGAGGTTTTTGAACACCGCAAACTTCGAGGTCATTTTTCTCCAATGATATTCACCGTTATGCTGAATTGGGATTCTTTGCCTTGATCACCATAAAAGAGATCAGACTGCAATTAAAACCGTGAAACCAGTCATTGGGGAAGCGTAGAACTCCTAACGACAATTATCACAGCAGCCGTCATCAGCAGAGATGGAAAGGAATGACGCCAGTTAAAAGGGATGCCATTTGGGGGGCAGAAGTAGCCAAATGATTCGGTGTAATTTGAACAACACAGGGCCCTCTTTTACCA